ACCATTATGGAAGACAACTAAAAGCTCTGAAGGGCAGCCAACTCTGCTCCTGATTTCCAAGCAAAAAATAATTCCTGTCAGCAGCCCTGCTCGTCACGGTCCCTGAACGGTGTTTTGATGGGTATCGTCGGAAACAGGAATGAAAGGGAGAGAGGAGCTGTTTATGAGGGACGACTCAGAGGCAAGAAAACTTCCCCACGGAGGCTGATGAGCGAAAGGCCCAGAGAGCAGCTAATTCCGGGTTGCTTACGTCCCCCCACACCCAGTCATTTACTTCCTTCTCTTATCACCAGGGGACTGAAGCAATTTGCTCCGAGATGCCTACCATATCGGTGGAATATGCACCTTTCAGCGTTAATACCTTATCTACCCCGACAAAGACCGACTGGTGACACGAAACCGATGAAACCTTGATTCTACAGTGTTGAACAGTTCGTTCTATTATATGCAGCGGCTGCTGTCTCAGTATACCTTTGTTATAATTTCTACTGTTGCTTTACGGACTGGAAGAAGGTTGCCCGTTCGCGGCCTAACCCCACGTCCCCCCCCCTCACCCAACCAACGGACAGATTTGGTTTGCTCTGAGATGGCAACCAAATCGGTGGGGTGCGCCCATACCACTGTTAAGAATACCTTCAAATACCCACCTCCGCACAATCGGGAATCGGTGCAACCGTTGTCGAGTTTAACATCAGTGCCACGGGACGAGACAGTCAACCATGCAGGCAAAGGCCGGTAGTCACCTGAGTTTGCCAACCTCCCTCTCCAAGGCCGAAAAATTGACCACGCAGCCGCCGCACCAGTCCTTTACTCCAAGATGACAGTGAGTCGCAGACAAATGATGCATATTAGGCAAAAATTGGCAAGTAGCAATCTCACACACGTGTATGTGTGTACACGCGTGGAACCCATGGGAACAGGTAGCGTTTGTGGTAGGTCAGCCACTAGTACGTCCGCCCACAATCAGTGAACAGCCTCTGAGGACACACAGAGAAGGTAGACTGACCGTTTATTTAGCCTAGGGCAGCCTCACGATGCAAATGGGGTGAAGCAACAACAAACGCCAAGAAGCCCTCGTGGTAAAAATTCCAGGAAGAATTTGGGAGATGGTCGGAGTGAATAGAGCCTACAACGACCCGCAAATACCGTTAACTAAAGCTTCCCTCAAAAGTGGAGGCATATCAAGTTACATCAAAGTGGGACCGGAAGACAACTGCGAATGACCCCAATGTATCGGGTCACCAAGGACAGCCAGCCGGGAAACGCTTACCAGCGCACGGCCCGCGGCAATTTATGGGGTAATTGTTGTGAAACTTCCGGTGTAATTAGACGCCGTATCAGGAACTATGATCATGCGGCCACTGCACGCAGTTCCCTGCAAGACAGTTCAGCAGCCCAGCCTGACCACCGATTTGGACTGTTATGATTTTCTCTGTGTTAGTAGTTTTGCCGCAGTAGCTAAACGCCATCAACACCAGTCATCTCGCACGAAGTGGTCGGTGCGGGTAGGAATGGGAGTTATTTGCAAGTAAAACGTAAATTATGCTAGCATCAGTGAGTCGAGGCCTGACGCGAGGTGGTTATACTGTTGAGCAGATGTGAGCGCGCATTGATTCAAACGGAAGACGCAAGCTATTTACACTGAACAAGTCAAGGCACGCGAGACTCGTGCGGCAAAGTGAGATGGAGCTGAGCTATGCAGACCTATCAATAGGGGGAATATCGCCAGTAGCTAGAAGTCGAACATAGATTACAAGTCCAGAAGCCAGGAAATTATTCCGCGTGATTACACGAGATTGAAATTTAGAGCCTTCTGTCAGACAAACAGCAGGGAACAGGGAACAGAAGAATTTTCTGGCAGTGTGCTCACTGTTCTCCGGTCCGCCTTAACAAGATGTTTTAATTGTTCAAAGTACGAACTTTACGAGGAGGCTAGAACTCGTTTCCTTCAAGATAAGAGGTATCCATAAAATCTCCTCTAATAAGGGGTAAGATACGGGGATAGAAACTCCACCCCTGTAACGCAGGCGGTGGCGAGGATAGGGTGCATAGACCCGCTGAGAAAATAGAGCCTAAGGACTCCTGTAATACGGGAAGGATGTTACCATGAGTCTTATCAGTTGGGCATATGAACGCGACAAGTAACGGAATCTGCCATGTTTGTTTTATTACACAAACGAGGCGCCGGAGCAGAGCGCACAATTTGAAATATATGCGAATAAGAGCGTGTAAATGGGTGGGAACAGATAACTCAAGGTTAACTACTCATGAAGGACAGATTAGAGACGGAAAGCGGCAGGCAAACTCAAGCCTGGCTTTAACCTTAACCCCAACCCTTTCTCGAATCCTAACCGCGAATTCAATCAGTTTTTAAAACTTAGCAAGAAACGTAATTATAATATCCATGCCTACCTAAATCGAATGAGCGGGCATGTTGCAGTGATAAAAACAGTAAGTTTATAAACAGTAGGTGGGCTAACTCATGAAATGTCAACCGAAATCTTGAAATACGTTTTCGTTTCGAGAAGATTAATTAAGTAGGGTTGTAAAACTAGTCAGCCTGAAAAATAATTTCATAATATTTCACTTACCTCAGGATACCGGCTTTCGAATGAACTTCCTTCCGGCTGCAGGCAACAACTATGCCCTATAAGAAATGACTACTTAAGTAGCATGCATTCGTCTAATTTAATTTCGATGTCCATAAAAATCCAACTGTACTTCATGGAACACATGCATAAAAATATTTATTCTGTTACTCATTCGGTAGAAAATTACGTCTTCTTCCAATTTCACACTCGAAGGAGGGACATAATTCGGTTTTAAAGAAGCCAATTATGAGATGTGTAATACCGTGAAATGGCCGTTCATAAAACATCATGTCTCTGCATTCACCTATGTGGCTTGTAAAGTTAACAATACAGCTCAAATCCACTGCTTAATTTTATGAACCCCATAAGGCCTCCTCTTAATATCGTGGAGAAATGTATGGTTTTCCGTACGCGGAAAACATACGGTTTGTGGTTTCGAAACCCTGAACCCAAATGTGACGGTAGGGTGGGTTCAAAATTATTCGGGAATTGGAAAACTTTTTTAAAACCGAATCGTCCCTTCTTCGAGCACAAAATTAGAAGACGTAATTACCTACCGAATGAGTAAAATAATAAGTATTTTTATGCATGTTTTCCATGAAATATAATTTTGACTTTTAGGGGCATCGGAAATCAATGAGAAAATGCATGCTACTTAGGTAGTCATTTTTACAGACTATGCAGCCAAAAAGAAGTTCGTTGGAAAGCCGACAAACTGAGGTAACTGAATTAGTTTAGGATTATGTTGAGTGATGATTGGTTTTACAAGCCTACTTAATTAATCTTCTCGAAACGAAAACGCATTTCGGAATTTCGGTTGACATTTCATGAGTTAGCCCACCTACTGTATTCGACCGTCACCCAGGTGACCTTGGGCCAATTTCCCGGAGGGATGCCTATTCCCGCCCGCCAATCCTGGAATTTAACGCAATGACACTCGTTCTACGGGAAGAGGAGCTCCCAGTCCCGTGTCATGAGGAATGAGCATGGCCGAATCCCCAAGTTAGAACGAGTAAAAACGAGTGCATTTTGGCAGACAGTACTAAAGACGGATGAGCCTAACAGGAGAAACTCCCAATTTGCAAAGCAAGGACAAAAAGTAAACATGGGCCTCTGTACACAGCAAGAGGTTGGACTGGGGTTATAGATAGTGGGTTTGGATTACTTCCTCCCCAACTGGAAGTCCAACCCTAACTACGGGTTCTTGCGTGTGGCAATAAGTATAATCCGGTCATGTAGAAGGGGACTCGTAGCTTTTCTGAAGTGAGAGCTTAACTCTAAACGTCTAAGCCCCAATCTTGACTACATAAATAGAGACATTACTATGCCGCAATAAGTCCGATCATAGGTTTTAGGTGACAAACTAGCGGGGTCGGCATTAATCCGGTCGAACTAATCTGAAATCAATTGCCTAGGACTTATAAACCACAAGGGCGATAAGCCTAACCAAGTTACTGGATCTCGAGCAAATTAGTAATAAATAATTATCGCAAAATAGGTGACAAATTCAGTGCACTCACAAGGCCAATAAGACAGACGGCAGGGACGACATAGAGAAGAGCCCATCGCATGCATTGTGGTTATCTGACAGTAAAACCTAGAAACGACTGTCTTATGTGCTTTCCAGGCCAGCAGTAAAGTTCAACCCTAGCCTAATTATTAACGCTACATGCAATCGGGAAAATTTTGAGCCTGGGGAGAGCAATAGTGTCTAGGCATGGGAGTTTACCTGAGGTCTTATCAGTCTAATTGGGAGTTTTAGAGTATGAGGACGCACAGCCCACAGTTTAATGTCAGTTGAGAGCAAGCCCGCACAAAGGACTAAGAACCTCTGGAAGGTGGGAGTTGCGATTAGCGGGAGCACAGCGCTGATGCGAGAGACTTGGAGGGGTAGAAAAAAAATGAGAATTAAGCAAGCACGGACAGGTTGCTTTCGAAAGGAGCAAACGCACACATCACAAGAGTCAAAAATCCGGATTAGGGAGCACAAGGCATATAATTTTAGGCTGAAAAAACACTAAAAACGTACGCAGATAAAGAAATGGCACAATGGCATGTTAGAGAATGCGAAGCGAGACGGCCTTCCTACGGTCTAGGAAAAGGGACTGCTATGGAGTAGGTAGATCCTTGTTAGTGTGAGAACAAAGACAGCTGGGGACAGTCAATTTAGAAGATAAGCTTTACGAAAAAACAAAAGTTTATGCAAAGTACTTGATTGTTTAAAAAATAGTAATATCGCTGGAATTAAGTCATCCAAGAGCGCACTTCTGCAAGGGGAGCAATTGTGGTTATTGGACGTTGAAAATTCTAAAAAAGAATGAAGGGAGAGGTCGGGAAGGAGCGATTAAAAGTGTACAATAAGCCGGGATAGAGAAGGAGATGCGTGGATTGACGGTCAGGCCAGGGTTCTCACTGACGAAGACGAATGTAAGGTATGTTGGGATAGGCGAGAGCAGCGCAGTTATTGCACAGCCATTCGGCGAGTGGCTCCCCCTTCAAAAGGAAGAATGCCTCCGGTGTGAGGCCAGAGCAGGCTAGATGGAACCATTCACGGCAGCCGGCGTCGCACTGGATGGGCAGTTGCTGTTGCTGCTCTTGGTGTTGCCTATTACCCATCTTAGCAAAATCCACGCCAGCAGCACCGCCAGCAGCAGCAGCAGCAGCAGCCGGGTTCTCGAGGGTCTTCTCCTGGCCAGGAAGAATCTCTCTTCTGCAGGCCGCACAGAGGGTTCCGGGCACCGGCAAGGGGAACGAAGGCGGGGCTGCCGGCATGGACATGGAAGGCAGGCTATCGCGGAGACCACTGGTGGTTGGTTTGCTCGGAGGATTTGTGGATCTGGGCGGCTGGCTTTGAGGCGGAGCCGAGACTCGGGAGGCATTTGGACCAGCGGGTGGTGCACACATTGTGGACTGGGCACTGGTGGGGGCTTCCGAACCTACAGACAAGGGTGGTGACGTAAATTCAGTTGGATTAAACGTCGATAGTCTCGCATCCGCACATTGAATGAACTGAAGTCTATTAAACTGTAATCCTTAAGTATGTCTTCCAGTAGGAATGATCACTAATGGGCGTTGCTGATGCTGATTAGCATGGACCGCGATGCAGGCCCTCCAGCCAGGTGCGAAAATTATGCATTGGAAAAATTGCTACTTACAGGAAGGGGGCGTAACTCATGAAACGTGATGGCGGAAGTCTATATGCTTATTCTGAAGCATCTAAACCGTTGTGTAACTAACGCATTCGTCTAACCCGTTCCGGAAAATATCCTTTGCTCATGCAGGATGTTTCTAAGCAATTGCGTTTGAAGGAAAGGATTACAAATTTGAGAGGGAATGAACGTTTGCCCACATTCGGGCAATTACCTATGCTAATAGCTGTTTCAAACCAAGTCTGCGTATCCGTGGGTGTTTTTTTACAAGAGGCGAGTAATATAAACAGGAAAAATTTGTCATACTGTCATCCACTCGAAAATTATTTTTAGGTTCCCGTAAATCAGGCGAAGCGGCATATGAACAAACACGTTTTCAAAGAACCAGATGTGTTTTTTGAATATAAACATTCAGACCTGTAAATTTGTTCGATCTGATGTCCTAAAAGACAGGAATATCGCCCACAGGCAATCCTTTGCTTCGATGTGCAGTAGATATGCTATCTCATGGAATGTTGACTGAAATTCTGAAATGGTTCTTCAATTCCAAAATATTACCTTAGTAGGGTTGTAATATTAATCATCACTTCACGTTGTAAAGATATTACAGTCACTTCATGATGCCGACTTTCGAATGAGCCTCTTATCGACCGCTTGAATAAACGATATTCCGTTAAACATAACCACGTAGGTAGCATGAATCTTCGCCATTGATTTTGGATACCTTTATAAATTCAAATACGTTTTATAGAAAACATGCACAAGACTATTTATTTTTTTACTCATTTCGTAACAAATCTCGTCTCCTTCAAATTTTTTTACTTGAAGAAAGTTTATCTTTAAGTTTTAAAAAACTTCCTCAATTCCCGAATGATTTTGAACTCGACCTGCCGTTACACTTGCAGTCAGGGTTACAGAACCACAATCTGTTCACTTTTACTGCGAAGGGAATCACACATTTCTATATGTTATCACAAAGAGGACATATAGGGCTCGTAAAATGGTGCAATGGATGTGGATCGTGTTATCCCCTTTATGAGCAGTATTAATACATGTATGATTGGACATTTCACGGTCTTAAAAAAACTCATAAAAATTTCCATAAGTGAAAGATGCTCTTTCTCCAAATATGCAATTTGAAGATGAAATTCGCCACCGATTGAATAGAAGAAAGGATATTTTTGTGCGTGTTTCCCACGAAATATATTTGAATTCATAATGGCGTTGAAAATAAACAGGAAAAAATCATGCTACTTAAGTAGTCATTTTTACAGAATGTAGTTTGCGCAGGCGGTTGATAACGAGCTCGTCCGAACCCGGCGCTTGCGAATATGCCATAATCAAACGCGAAAAGTCCCACCACCAAGTGACCATTTTTAGATTCTGGGTATATGGTAAGACACTTTTTGTGCAATCTAATTTCTGCCAATATGCCATTAAAAAACGAAGCGGCGGAGCATTAGTACTTAGAGCAATATGTTAGCATTTATACAGTCACCCTACTGTGTATTACTAGTCGCAGAACGCAGCTTAGTATAGATAACGAAAGCGGCTCCAATATGAAGACAAAAGTGAGCTCTTTTGTTTTCAGAAGAAGGATTGCCTATATTTATCGGGAGAGTGAGAAAGCCAACCAAACGTCCCAATTTTTCACCTGACTTACTGGATAGCCTGGCCCATGAAATGCTATAAGCGATATTTGGGCGGGAAGTACGGCATGTATTCGATGCTGTTGATTTTGGTTGTTTAGATTATTTGAGGCGCAGAAAGCTTTTTATTAAAGAAGGATTTATTTCAACTCTGTTCTAGGGAAGGAAAACGAGTCAGATTTAGGTGAAATCCGATGCTCTTAGACATCCCAGCAATCCCCTGCGCTTTTTAATGTTATAGGTCAAAAACGTCCTTGCGCGCGTTGTGCTGTAAAAAAATCTCTTTTGTAACCGGAAAAGCAGATTTTGCATCAATGAAAACCAGGTGAAGGCGGGTTTCGAGAGTTGCACTATTTTGGAGAAACAATTGGTGGATTCATCTTTAAAAATTCTGTTTTACGAATTTATGACGTTCTACTCCATAGAACACAGTAACAAAGTTATTAAGCAGTACTTAGTTCTATCACACCGAGCAGTAGAAGGGAAAACAAATACGTATTTAGTACCCATGGCAGGCTGCTACTTTTCTCTATCACGTTGTGCGATAAAGATGTTAAAACAATTCCAGTAGGACGTTGAATTCAAGTGCATACGGAAATTGTCAGAATAAGGGCTGCCGCGTGAGTCTCTGGCTAATATTTTTAATATTACCCAGGACGCTTTATGGAGAATCATTAATAAGAGAACAGTGCCTAGAATTGAACAAGGTGGACCGGAGCGGTCCAGAGGAAAGACGACAATTTTATTCGTCGTACAGCTAGAAAGTACAGTAGGTGTGCTAACTCACGAAATGTTTATCGAAATTTTGAAATGCGTTTCGTTTCGAAAAGATTAATTAAGTAGGGTTGTAAAACTGCTCATCGTGCAGCATAATTCTATAATATTTCAGTTACCTCAGGATACCGGCTTTTGAATGAACTTCCTTCCGGCTGCATGCAAACCCGATAAGAAATGACTACTTAAGTAGCATGCATTTTTCTCATTTATTTTCGATACCCCTAAATGTCCAATTATATTTCATGAAAAACATGCATAAAAATATTTATTCTTTTACTAATTCGCTAGGAAATTACGTCTTCTTCCAATTTCATACTCAAAAAAGAGAAGAATTCGATCTTCAAAAAGTGCAATGGCCGTTCATAAATCGTCATGTCTCTGCATTTACCAATGTGGCTTGTGAAGTTAACAATATGGATCAAATCCACTGCTAAACTTTATGAACCCTATATGGTCCCCTTTTATTACCGTTGAGAGATGTGTGGTTTTCCGACGCGGAAAATACATGGCTTGTAGTTTAGAAACCCTGAATGCTAGTGTAACGGCTGGTCGGGGTTCAACATTATTCGGGAGTCGGAAAAGTTTTCGAAATCCGAATTATACTCTTCCTTCAAGTATAAAATTAAAAGAAGACGTAGTTTTATATCAAATAAGTGAAAGAATATTTTATGCATGAAATATAATTGAGTTTTTAAGGGTATCGAAAATCAATGAGAGAAATGCATGCTATTTAAGTAGTCATTTTACAGAGCATAGTTGTTGCATGCAGCCGGAAAGAAGTTCGTTTGAAAGCCGGCATCCTGAAGTAACTGGATTATTATAGAATAATGCTGCACGAAGATTAATTTTACAACCTTACTCAATTAATCTTTTCGAAACGAAAGCGCATTTGAGGATTTCCGTTAACATTACATGAGTTAGCACATTTACTGTACAAATATATGCCCCTTAAGAAAATTCACAGGGAGAATTGGCCAACGCTGTCCCTCTGCATAACCACAAAAAGGATGAAGGGATTCGGCCTCCACCAGCAAAACGCTATGACAAAACTGTCAAGAGAACGTATTTTATTGGTTCAAGAGTATATTGATCGCAGACTTTCAGTCTCTAAAAACATTTACTTTTGTGATGAGGCCATATTTTTAGGCAAGCCCCCGAGGTCGACCCAGGCGGTCATATGTTGGAAGAACGTCCTACGAAAACACATCATTTTGGCAGCAAATTTCAAGAACTGCCGATGTCTGGTGGTTTTGATGGCCATCAGATTTGTAGAACGACCAATCTGGTGGTCGACAACGGAGATCATGAGTAGCGAGGTGTCCATCGACAACGTAAAAGACTCCTTCGGCAACAACGAATTCGCCGATGTCGAATGGACGTCGTAATGTTGCGGGGTAATACATGTGTTCACCGCTCAAAGGAGGTATGATTCTGATTAAGCTTATGACTGCAATCTAATCTTTGAGACCACAGCTGGCCTCCTCGCCTGCGGCCTACAAAGCATTTTTACTGTAGCCAATAGTCCGGATCTCAAACCGATCGGAAATTTTTTGTACTAATCAAAGGAAGGTGGGGCAAAACAACAAAACACTTTTCAGTACAGTAAAGGCTGGCTTTTGTTTAACAATCGTGTAGACCAGTCCACCGCAGACAACTCGGTAGTTTCTATGTACGCCTTACAGCTGCCTTACATGCAAAGGGACAATCAATCCACAAGAGATTAATACGTTGTATTTGTTACGGTTTTTCAGCATTCTCTCGTTTTATTATATCAGGCCTTAGATAGTTGACCTCTCATGAAGTCTTTTTTATTTGGTGGTTTACGATAAAATAAATTATTCCACAACCAATAAATAGTAACAACTTGTGAACCAAACAATGTCTTTTTTTGAAGAACGATCGTTTTTTCAAGCAATATAGCTTTCGTAGATGCGGGGTGGGCGGCCTGTGAGTTACAAGGGTTTTTGTACGAATTTCGGGATAGGACACTTGTAAAAATACAGCCATTAAAGCTCTACTTATTAGGCCCGTTCTTCGTGTAAGAGAAAGGAGTTGCTCCGTCTAGAGAGGGTTAACCAATCCATGTAATCTCTGGGGCAAATGGTTTTCAATCTACATGCAACGAATATTTCCTTTAAAAAACGCAATGTGACTCTTGACGTCCTCGCGTGATTTCTCGAGGTTGGGTCTGGATTGACCTGTAAACTTTGTGGGCAGTAACTCATGTGAATGTTCCATTCTTATGAGTAAAAAGCCTTCGAAAAGTAAACGTACCCCTTCCCTCAAACAATACATTTCAAGAACACCTAAGTTCGCACAAAATAAACCTAAATAGATAGTTTCGTGCACTCCTTCAAGGAAATGTAAGTGCATCTGCACGAGTACCAAAGTCAGTCGAAAAGGCACAATAGATAAGCGGTGATTTTTAACTGAGGGCAGGCGTACTACCGCGTAGGGAGGTGCTTCATGGTAATCAGTACAGCTTGGTATTGTGGTTGCCGTAGAAGAGCGAAATAGCCGTTTTAGGATCAGCAGAACCATCATAAAGTATAGAAATGTCTAAATTGCATTTCCACCCATCTGATCAGTCATCACCAACCGTGGATTTACAGTAGTCTGTGAAATATTTTCGTGACTCGCAAGGAAGATGAAGGGAGGATGGAAGGAGGGAAAAAACAAATTTCGACTGTACCCCCGAGTAGACAGGTTACGGAAAGTGGGGAACTAGAGATTTGTCATTTGTACTAATAATGCCCTGCACTATCCGAGCGGGGTGACTCTATAAGTGGCCCGTCACTTCGATTCACTGCTCGGAACGTCTTTATAGCTCGAAAATGCTATCGCCGGAAAGACTGCCCTGAATGCATCGTTTTGGGTCCCGTTGAGCGGAAATGAGAGTTATAGGAAAAGCCACAAAACAGGCAGCCGCAACTGCTGGAGGTGGTCGTTGCAGAATTCTCGGACGTACAAGAATATGAGTATGTTAGTCAATCAAGGAGGCAAAACGAGACTCTGACTGAGTAATTTAGAAGTCACTAAAACTTGTCGAAATAGCCTTATTCATTGTCTGGCTTTTTTAGGGTTAGAGGTGCAAAAAGTCGCAGTTACTTAAGGGACAAGCGAGCTGGTTAACAATGTCATCCAGTCATCTCCGGTCCTGCCTCAACTGTTGTCAGTGGTTGCTATGTCGGCGACATTAGCTTGACCGTGTTGCCCGCCGATTGCTTCTGGACTGAATGAGTGCACCTGGGGGAGTGGTGCTTTGATAACGTCGGTAGCTAGTTGCTCCCGAGTACCGTGTTGGTCAAACATCCACCTACCCCCTAGTTATTTTCGACATTTGCGGTTAGCCGACTTTGTCATGAGTTTGGCCAATCAGTTGGACAGTCAGAAATGGATTGCGTACAAAGACAAGGGAGACTGGAATGGCCATTTTCGGTTTATAAGCTGTCATCGACCAGCCATGTCCAGCCACTAGGTGTGCAACCCCCGAGGCTCGAAGCCGCGACCCGTTGGTTAGAAGTCCAGCGCCTCTAACCACTGGGCCACGGGCCAGTTGTATTGTCGGTTTCGATCGGTAATACTAACATTGGTGGATGGGCGCTTACCGATTGGTTACGGGACTCACTCGCCCCGTTGTGTTTTTCGGGCTCGATTTAGAGCCCCGTCGGCCTTGCACGACGACTGGTGTTATACTCGGAAACAGATTGCCAACAAATACAAGGGAGACTTGTGAGAGTTTATCTACCAATGTTAATATTCCCGATCGAAATCGACAAGACAATTAGCCCATGACTCAGTGGTTAGGGGGTTAGACAACCAACAAGTCGCGGTTTCGAGCCTCGGGGGTTGAGCACTTCCTGGCTGCGTATAGTTGGACGGTAACGGCTAATAAACGAGAAATGGTCATTTCAGTCTACTCTGTCTTTGCCGGTAATCTATTTCTAAAGATAATACTAGTCACTATGCGACGGTCGCTTGGGCTCTAGATCGGCTCCCCAGGGTACAACGGGGCGTGTGAGTCCCGTAACCGATCGGTGAGCGTCCACCTACCAGCTGGGCAGTGTTTTTAGTCTGCTAGCAAGGGAAGACTCCAGCGAAGAGCCTGAACGTACCACCGAGGCCATATCGGCTGCCCATCGATCCCGCTGGGTTGTCAGTCGCGGCAGAATTCGAAGGAATTCCTTGTGCTTGCGGCTGCATAAACTGGGGCTGGACACCCGTATTCACGTCTGTAGGCAGACGAACCCCCATGCGGGGAACACCGAGAGCTGGTTTACCTCCAAATCCGTCGTACGTCGGGGCAAGACCTGGCGACATCGTACCGGTATTGGGATTCACTCTAAACTCCACACCGTCGTTGTGAATGGGGTCGGGAAGCACTTGAGGCGGCATAGAATCCATCTGAAAATTCTGCTGAAAACGAGGACCACCGGGCAGAGTCTGGTGCTGTTGTTGTTGCTGCTGTTGTTGTTGTTGCTGTGGGGGCGGGGGCGGAAACCCTGTACAAAAGACCCAAAAAAAATCCTTGCCAAGTTAGCGTTGTCAAAACTAGATAGTTTCGTTCAAAAAAATGAAGTACACACGAGTAATCACCAAGTCGTCGCGCAAAGAAATAAGACAGGTCTGAAAGCGTGAGAGAGGTCTAATGTGCAGGCAAGGCTGACGTGCTGAAAATATCCGGCGAATCGGTCTCCTGCGGAACAAAATTGTAGGGGGCCTACATGCTCAGCTGGAAAGCATGACGACCAGCACGTCTGCAGAAGACATTCTAATCTGCCCGCAGTCGGGTCATAAGACACGCGGCACCAGACAAACATCGTCCAGACGCACAATAAATACGCGCGCAGAAGACTTTAAGTCTGGATGTACAGTGGGTGACCTGACCCTTGGAATGTACCTAAATTAGCGAGAAATGGAAGTACTACAGGTACCATTTCGTTAATTAGAAACGGCAAAAAGTGTTAAAATTCGAGTCAAGTGAGTAGACTCAATTCTGTAAAGTATCTGAAGCTCGCTAAATACAAATACCTGACTGAATAAAGCAGCATAAGCACAGCAGCTTTCAAAAAAATCATCTTTTTACGTACATGTTCACTATATATCTTTCAAGAATTAGTACTATATGAAGCTCTTGCGAGAGGGGATAATCGTGTGAGCCGCGAGTTGCTTGAGCCATGGTTCACGGGACCTCAATCTGTCAACAAGTGCAACGACATGCCCACTCCGTACTCCGTGCTAAGGCATAGGCTGACCAAGGTAATTGACCACTCGGGGCGCGCGCAAGCCGGTGAGCCAGATGGCCGCGCAATCATCACGCCAGCATTTAACACGGGTGATGACATTTCGGTAATTAACAACTTGCATGCCGGTCAGCAAGCAATTAGCGCACCAACGGGCAACGATCCTTCATGAAGGGGAGCGCGGTTAATTGCTATAGGTATGCGGTAGCATAGCGACCGCACCCTATAAATACTGCAACTTCCAGTGCACGAGTCACCCTTTTCTGCTACTGTCTCTGATGATGGATTCAAGTGAGAACCTGAAACGTCAGGCGAATAAAGACCTTGTTCCAGCGATCGCTTCTTCTTCTGGACACAATACTGTTGGGGTTGGGGTTAGAGTAAGGGTAACCATTTCCCAATCATTCAAAGTACAACCGCGCATTCCCAATAGCTTTCTTTCGCATACAACTACTTGACCTCGTCGCCTGTGCGTTCCCCGGCCCCACCTATAAAAACCCCCCATTACTACCGGTCCCGTATTACAGGGGGCTGGGATTTGTTTACTTCCGGTGGGGCTACATAACCACATCTGACCGACTGGCACGCGTTTGCCTGACTGCGCAGAGCCCGAGCGAACAATCCACAACGGTCACCGTACTCACGTGTGACACGCAGCGTCAACCACTGCGTCCATTCCCATCACTCGTTGACAGAGAGAGTCGGAAAGTCGGCTGCAGCGGGGGGTGTGGTAGAGTGAGGCCGGCACTGAAGAAGGATCCATCCTCGCGGAATATCTGCGCTAAGATTTGTGGCTGGGAAGGCTCCCAACTGACAGGCTAACTCGGTCCTTCAGAGGATTGAGAGTCAGGCTGCAACGGCTCCTTTTTAATGCAACCTTTAAAACATTCTCACGCATGCGTGACCCCAACCGGCCTTATCGCAGCCTGATACATGTGGTGGGGATCTGGTCGTGTGTTGCAAGCGCAGACAGGCCGTCTAGATTTGTCAGCCACTATGCCCGCGCCCACCTCCGGTCGTCTGCGCACTGCCTAGCCATTGGAGCAAGGCGAGCGAGGGAGGAGGGAGTGTGGTAGATGCTGCACACGCCAGCCCCACTATAAGCTAATTCATTCACGCGCAAGTCACCGATGCTGCGCCCACTCCGCGTGGTACGTGGCGGAGGGTCGTCGCTTGCAACGGACGAGCTCTCGTGCTTCGTTTCAACATAGGTCAGATTCCCCTTCGAAAGGGTTGATTTCCAGGTCAACCTGGCCGCTGATCTCGCCAAACTTACTACATACATTCCTTACCGGTCTCTATGGTGTTATCGACGTAGTTCGTTTGAGGACATGGAGTGATGTCTTTGAGCACTTTGGAACCTTCGAGTGCTTTTTGGTCCTCTACTGATCTCTCTTTATTTGCAGTGCCCCATAAACAATGGGAACGACTGGTCGCAGATAGCTTTTTTCAGTCCTTGCTAGTACTTCCATTCGCTACAGTGCTCAATTAAAGACGGCAACAAATTTTGCCAACGCGGAATTTATTTTGCGGGTAACTTCATCCTCGAGAAATGTTAGTTGCATGTTGGTGAGTTTTGGATAAAGACAAGGATGCCAGCCACGTTGATAAGTCCTGTTGGTCCCAGTCAGATAAACATGCCTGATAATTCTGCATCTTTTAGCGAGTATTTTCCAAGCATGTTTAGTAGCTAACCACCTGATATTCACGGACGAAACCGGCGAATGAGAAAAGCCAGTTCCGAAAACAGTTCACAGGACGGCGAGCCCATGACTCAATGGCAGGTTTGAATTAACGCCTAGGGAAGAGCTGATACGGTTTCAAATCCTAGGTCATTATAATCACTCTTGATTTTTCGGTGACACTTATTGGTTGGAATCAGTTCCGTTATATTACCCAGTGTCGGCTTTGACTACGAATAGTATCCCTGGATGTTCGAAAACTCAAGCAGTCAATAGATTTGTTCCAATTATTGCACCTCTTTGAGTCTAAGACGATGCTTAAATAACAAATCTCCAAGGATCAGAGCTTACACTTAAAACTGCGACAGAAACGTTGTTTATATTATGTTAGACTCGTATGGGGAGTCAGTAAGGCAGAAAATGGATTAGTTCTTGCAGCTGGCAGGTGTAGCTGTGATATTTCAGTAGGCGAAACGCTCAGTACGAACTCAGGAGTTTGAACCCATCCAGCAAAACACGGTTTCCGGCTGTGCCGGTCCCCTACTATCCACAGATTGACATAAGAAATGTCCTACTTGATATAACTACACATGTGATGCCATAAATGTCATCCAAATTTCTGTCTGCTAAGTAGTCCAGAAAGGTTTGCGTGTCCGCTGAAAATGTACAGGAATTAGACTGGGAAGAAGCCTTAACCAGTGGCCATGAAGGTGGAGAAAGTTGTGCGTAAGGGCCCATACTTTCTATTCTTCCTGGATCAGAAATTATACGTCAAGAAGCCTACGAAACTTCACGCGCGTCTTTGGGATGAAACTGTGATATACCGGTGCAGTGTGATTATTCAGTACGGGAGCGCCCGATAGGATGTAATTTATGGCCACTACTCCGCGCTCGATAATCCGATGCCCAAATTAAGCGTCAGATTGCAGTAGCCGACAGAAGGACTGCAGCTACAGTTGAAAAGCGGTAAAAGTTGGAACGAAATTTGAGAATCGTACGTTGCTGGTGATGCATCATCATATCCTGGGGCACCTGGGGGTTGAAGGATTGCTGCATGGGACCTCGACCTCCGCCCATCATGACAGGTCCCGAGGACGCCGGCGCGTACGGAGGGGCATTTTGGGGATTAAGTTGGGGTGGACCAATCGGGCCTCGTTGGAAGTTCTGCATGGACTGTGGGTGGCCAGGGGGCATCATTTGACCCTGGTTATAACTATCAGGTCCGAGGTCAGGGGGCATATCCTAAAGGAAATTAATCAAAACGAGGAGGGAAATGATATAGTGGAAGAAGGGTCGTGTAGAGCAGAATGCAGCATGGAAGCAGCCAAGCTGATAAAGCCCGAAGGAAAAGTAGAATGTTTAACATTGCAGGAAAAACGCCTTCATTCAACGATTATTCAAAGGACGAAAGAACCTTCAGATACACACTGCGGAGCTGGCTTCGCATAAAGCCCAGGGAGCCATTGGGGTAAATACTAACCAAGTTTCGAAGCGAGTGCTGCGTCTAACAACCTACTATTGCAACTAATTTTGAATGACCGTGAACGTTTATCTGTCGTACAATGGCAAGTACTATCTGACGAACAAATGTTTACAAACTTGATGCACGGTTTGCAGCTCCTATTCGAAGCAAACGACACAGCCTCTCACTATCTGGGTAATTGAACGAAATTACCTGTACTCCAGCATAGAAACTGTTTCCGTAGGCAGAGCAGATCGACCGATAAAGTACAAGAGGAAAAGGAAACGAAGGAGTGTATTTTCAGGCGCCTGATCGTCAGAAGTTGGCGGAAATGAACCATTAAGAACGAACAGCTGGTAGTCAGATAGCTGAAAGTATGCTAACTATTAGCGCACAGCACTCTCCTGTTCGCATCTGTTGGTACAATGGCCTACTTCGAAAGGCGACGAAGAAATTCGTGGAACCCAGTCGAGTCGCGATACGGACTAAGCTCTTCGAAAAACTTTAGGAAACCGGTGGTCTTCACCGGTCCTAACTATAAGGGTGACATTGGGATTTTTACAGACATCAAGACAGTTCCGACGATATTTGGCGTAGCAGCCAGCATGTTGGAAGATCAGCATAAACGTTGTCTCGTTGGAGCCACTAATAATCTCTAGCACAGCACAGCAGATTGGAGCCAGGTTAGAAACAACCAACAAGGAGTAACGTAAAACAGCCCACGGCAGAAGTAATATCTGCGTGTCTTAGTACTTGGACTATATTCGTGGATCTGATGAGAGCCTTCGATGCAGCGAATCCTGATGCTGAAATTCGGACGCCCGCAGAGATTCAGGCAAATAGCAAGATGGTTATACGACGGAAAATGACGCCACTCAGACAACGGTAGGGTCTTTGAAGCATTTTCAGGGTGGCATACACACTCCCGTCCTCCTTAGTGTTATGTTACTCGCCTTGTTAAGAGTGGCCAGGAATAAACACCACCTGCCCAATCGACGACTAATCCTTAACTTCCGCCGCACGCCGGCATTTTCGTGTCGCCGAGATCAACGTCCCAATGACTCCAATCTTTTCTCAAACGACAGTTCGCTTTCACCGTATGCTTTTTTTCCGTGTCTGTGGATACGGTGGAGAAATATGTTCAAAAGGTTCGCGGACCAACAGTTGCCGGACCGGATGGTGTCTCATCATTTCTCCTTAAGTCCTACTCTTCTCAGATAGCACCCGTTTTAACCAATCTTATTAACATGTCCTTTATGGAGTCAGAGGTGGCTGACGCTTGGAGTTCAATAAGAACCACACCCATCGTTAATAGGTCTGCTAATTTTGGTCCTTAATCCTTCCGTCCAACTGCGTAATTTTCCGCCCTTATGAAGCTCACTAAAAGTGTTGCCTAAGATGCCACTACATCATTCTTCTCCAATTTTTCCGACCCCTTACAATTCGCATGTCAGGCCAGGCGTGTGCGTTGGATGATGTAACTCTTGTGGTTTACCCTACACTAGGGGAGTTGAACAGGGGTTTATGTGCGTACGCACGTGCATTTCGCGACTATTTCCTTGCCTTCAACACAGTCCCACGCCATCTCCTCAGCAAAACATTTGAGTACGACTCTCCAGGCAGGATTGTTTCTTGACTTGGAGATTATTTTACCTTCCGTAGTCAATTTGTCCAGTCTGGCAAGCGAAAGTCTACTAGTCTTCCTAATAACTGTGGAATCCTTAAAGGTTTCATCATTTCCCACCACCCCTTCTCGTTTTACACTGATGACCTGAGATCGTCCAATGACTGCCTGTATGTTTAATATGCTGATGATATGGCTGATGACCACCCTATTAAAAATCAGACTCATCCCCAGTTTCTGGTGGATGGCTTAGACCATATAGCTGCCGGCTTGTTGGAAAATGGTCTTCTGCCTAACAATTAGAAATCAGTACAGTTTGTTTGTTGACTGCGATTCTCTCCCATTCCTGAATTCCATGGAATTTTTCCCAACAAAATATAATCCTTCCGGAACCTTGGTTTTACCTCGTCATCAAATCTTTCATTCTCCTTTTATATTGAACCTTTTTCACTAAAACGGTGACCGCAAGCCAGCACTCGAAGCCCCAACATACATTCGCCACACATACCTTGTCTGCCTACATTGTCCCGGAACGCGCAAACTCACTTAGAATAGACATGGGCCTACTCGGTCGCATACGTACAAATGACAATTATCCACAGCTCATCGCGCATAGCTCATGCAAAACGCATGTCGACGTTGGGATGACGAATGAAACACCGCGTGTGCCATTTTGTATAGCCCGGTGCATGCGCAACGGAGACCAGGCCGTGTGTGGCACGCGCATACGAGCCGTTTAACTCTGTCAGCCAGTGCGCCCGCATCCACGTGTGGTTTTCTTAATTTTGTATTGCCATCGGAAGATAGAGCGAGGCAAGTGCAGTGCAAGTCCGCGTCACCACAAATAGATCCATGCACAAGTCGTCCTGCGCCCAGCTGGTGGGGCAGCAATGGACGCCGTCGTGCGCGGCGGATAAGATGTCGGTCCGATGGCTTCCACCCGCCCGGCTAGACAGTCGATCCGGCTGCTTCTTGCTTAAATGTTGTCACGACTTGCATTCCTTTGATACATATGGCGTGGCCTCGTCTACTATGTCCCTCATAATACGGGTGTCTTGGGTCCCGCTAAATTGTTCTTCACCTCCCAGCGGACATCTCACTGGCGTTGAATGTTCCAGTTGCCCATGATTACAGCGTTGAGTGAATAACTCTCCCTGGAAAATAAGCCGGCCCCAATTTTTCAGCACCACGGGCAATTATCGAACCTGTAGGGTTCATAGTAAGATCCAAAAATGCCATCTCGAACTCCCGACATATTCAATGCGTTTTCTTAAATATGGGTCACATTTTGGAGGTCTCCAAGCACCATTTGCGCGATATTCTCGTAAATGTTCGAGGGTACATTGTCCTAGAAAGACCTCCCATCCTTATGGCAGAGAGTAATGCTATTGTAGCGGCTCGGACAGCATGGAGTAAGTCGATGTGAATCACAGAAGTGAGTATTCTTAGCTGCTTACTGAACTTTAGGATACTAACCCCAGTCGGAAGTGACTGCCTAGGATCTGTGACAAAGTAAACGTCTGGTCAACATACTTCTGACTGGAGCTAAAAGTTGCTGGTTTTTCCTGAAGTTGTCTACTGGGTGTTTTTTAAGGAATTAACCTAGATAAGTCTCGGGTGCAAGCAACACCGAAATTCTGCTATTTCCCAACATTTGCGCGCAACTATCGCGTTTTGAGGGCAGAAAGGGGTGTATGAGGCACTCGAGGCAAATGAAAGGTGTGGCATGCTAGGACGTCCCGTGGTAAAAAGGCAAGCCCTGCAACTGGGCCCACGTGCACTTCAAGTTCTGGCTTCGTGTGAAAAGAGTGTTAGGCGAATGTTGGCGTAATTCCTTCTCCTTCCTGCACAAGTCGCCTCTCGGTCCCTAAGTAGTGGTGATTCTCATCGCTTTATATCCACCGGCATCTTGTGAGCATGTTCTGCATGCTTAAGGCACAAAGGTTTTGGGTGGCACATAATTGCGCAGACAATCCCAGCATGGAAAATGTCAGTCAGGAATCGGCAGCTTCTTTCAGGAAACAGACATGTCTCGAATTGGGGGGACTTCTAGACATATCTGCATCTGTCAGAGTCAAATACCTAGACCAGAATGAGCGAAAAAACCTACTAAGTGTAGCAAACAGGGCTTCACTTAAGATTAGATCGAAAAATTGTGCTAATTGCTGAAAAGCAGAACATTGTGGTCTGTGAACTAACCGTAGGGTGCGGCTTAGCATTCATGGGAACAACAGCTGCAACGCTGCGGCCAACACGGGGAGACGTTTGAGAGCAGCCCTGACGGCCAGACGTAGTTGCGTACGAAGGAGGCTCACCCTTGGGAAATTTACCACTGTTAGGGGGTTGTAGATATGATTGAGGAACGTGCCCCGGTATTTGTTGGGGATTCATTGGTGAAAGCCCTTGGAACGAGAAAAATCAGCTCGCGATAATTCACAAGGACTTAGCACAGTTATGAAGGAGAAAACGTATATACGGAACTCGACCACATCATAAAAATGACAGGTTTTTAAAAGCAAGCAGCAAACAAGTCAACGAGCCGGGTGTCCTGGGAGCAAATGTTGGAATTATTTCAGAATATTCTGCTCATTTTAATGTCATGGAAATGCCCGAATATTGATTGGCTAGGACACTCACGCGATGGAGTAACTCCTGGGAATGTCAATCAACGCCATGACTGCGACGCATCTATGCCAAGCAGTTGAGGTCAGGGCTGGCACATAAACAGTGCGAGCGTACACAAAAGCGGCATCGACATGCTGCGGACACTATTAATTTTCGCAGTCGCTAGTGCCAATGGGTGCAACTTCATAAGCGACTTAGACGAAAATATCAGTTCAAATTAACTAGTGTAAATGTTAGGCACGCTTCTGTTTGGAGACTATTTATGTCAACTCCCCCGTTTATTCATTGTGTTTCTGTGTGGTTATAACCTAACTGTTCCCAAAGGAGTGGAAGGAATCTTTTAGAAGGCGTACTGCGCAACAAGTTTAAAAAGGGCGTCAGGGAATGCTGTCTCAGTCTTTTGATTCGTAATTCTTGTCGTCGGGGTCAAAATCAGCGTTTAAAATGAATAGGGCTGGGTGGGGGTTTCGAAAATCTGTGGATACTTTCAGTGATGTCAAGGTGCGGAAGTCTGTTAGGTCAATGTAAGCACAGTAAATACGGCTGCTGCAGATAACAAGCTGGCCATATGGGAGATGAGGTTTTCAGCTGTCCAGTCTGACGAGTCGCACTGTTATCTGACGACAGTGTTCGTGGGAGATATGCCTTTAGACGCAATAACACTGTAAGGTAGTACGACCAAATGTCGAGGAGGCAACATGTTCACCTTAGTCTTTACCTCACGATAAGCAATGCCATCTCACCTAATTAAGATACTTCTAAGAGTACATTGGAGTTCGTAGTCTATCTTATCATAGACGGCAAAGCTATTAGTCGCAATTCAAGAGACGAAATGGCAGTCCATCTTAGAATTGTTAGATCGACTAGGAGTAACGCATTTGTTTTAAGGGTTTACTATGGTCCGTAGGTCGGATGCTGTCGTCTAATATTGTCAAGAAACTACGCGCGGTACTGGAGGGGTTACCGGAAGTGGTTTGAACATAGGCAATTTAGGGCGAATAGTAAAAACCCAAGTTCCTGCCATTATTCGTGAAGAACCGGCACGGGCGTTACTTAAGCAGGTTGAGAACTGTAATTCAGGTGAAGGTTGAAAAGGTTACGTTCGTACGGAGTAAGTATAGAAAGAAAAGGAAATTAACTACGGCACGCAGATAAAAGACCAGGAGATGGTGAGTACTTCAAGCTCGTCGGAAAGGATAAATGTGGAGTCGACATTTCGCCATTCCTATCATCCGTTATTTTAACCAGTCACGACTTGCCTCTAGATTCAATGCATTTAATTTAATTAGTAATGGTAAAACGACTGCTTAGTTTCTGGACTAGTAGCTCACAAGGCATGAATTGCAGGCTGTCATCGTCCGCATTCCATATCGTTAGTTTTGAGGAAGTGTATAATAGGTTCATGGGTGGGGCCTAACTTCAACAGATACCCTGGAGGACATGGACGGACAGCTGACATCAAATAAAATGTCCATTAAATCTTAAATAAGACCTCAGATAAAAAAATCCTTTCTCTTTTCCAAAAAGCCTATGGTGTACTCTAACAAGTTCGCAGCTTCTCCTACTGAAGTAAAAACCTGCTGATAGACGGCAACCGTGTATATTCTTGCCGACATGCTTCTTCAAGTCCATCTCTTATGTCAAAATGGTGGCAGACGTGTCAATGAAGTTCGATTATGGCCGGAGGCTCGACGGTCCGTTCTAACTTGCTTGCGACAAGGACAAGTGGAGTCTGTAACACACATACAAGTGGGTCGGAGGTATGTACTCACAGTCCGTCTAACCTTACGATTCTTTCAGATGTTCTCTACATGTGGAGGGTCGGAAAGGACAACAAGGCGGCCTAGCCCTTTATCGTGGCCTTCAAGGTGGCTGGCGACCTCCACACTAATCCGTGAGGACAAATGGCGAGGATTCCCGTATGCCCAGAATCGTTTACTAATAACGAAGATACGTTCATCCAATTGCTCTTAGTCATAGAAGATAGTGACACACAAGAAAAACAGTAAGCGCAGTCTACGCAGCACCTCACCCTGATAATATTGTACTAGCTTATATGTAGTCCTGTGCTCGTGGCTTAGATTTGCAGGCTCGTGTGTGGCTATTGATTTGACTGGCCTCGGACGCCAATCACGCAAAGGGACTGATGGCGGGCAGTACCTGCGGGGACTACGGAAAAGAGTCAGGGAACCACAAAGATGCCCGCAAACTAACTGTCTGGGCTGGTCCTGAGCGATTATGATGTAATTGGGGCGGATGTATTCGACAGGACGAGCAGACGTCTATTTTTCAAACGGGGATCAATGCGGCACAATGCTAACATATAGGCTGTCACTTTTTGTTATTATAATGAAACGAACGCACTGGAATTGTGTCTGTATTATGTCAGCATTTTACTACACGTGGTAGAAGGGGGGGGGATGGGCAAAAGGTCCGATAGCATTTTACTAGCTCCTGCCTAGCACTCCACAAACAGCCCATATGTGTGGACTTGTGTGCGACTGATGAGCTGATTGACTAACTGGTCACAGCATTTCTGAACCTAGCGAAAGGACTGTTGGGCGGGTTGCGTCAGCCAATCGCAAAACTAACGATAGACGAACTGTACGGGCTAGCCCCGGGCACCACATAAATTGTGCTATCGGTGAGCAATTTGGCTTGGAGAAGGCGAATTCGGACTAGATAGTGGCTTGTGGAACAAACATCCTCCTTCGATGGAAAGAATGTGCAAAACGTGAGTGCTTAGTAGCTTACTCTTTCAAAACGAGGGAGCAGGTCGGCGTACAGGAGGCCGACCAGGGTTTTCAAGGCGATGGAGTACCCGCTTAAACTACACCTCAGTAGAAGCATCTTGTTATCATAATTCGAGTTTCACCTGAAGTGCAAGATTTAGGGATAAATCATGAACTTTTCAAAAACTGCTATTTTTCTAAAGTGTTAACACACGCATTTAGCTTCTTTTTCCCGAGTCTCTTTGCAGAAACGTATATGGAGAAACGATGGAGCAGCTAGCAGGTCTAGGAACAACTGTGGCGAAATCGGTGCAGAAAGTGTCACCACTAAACCTCGAGTTAGGCCTAAAACAAAATCAAATGAGAATAAAGAACGAAAGCCCGAAGTGGAAAAGAGAGAAATAGGATAAGAAGGATAAAGAATGCAAAGTACCGGAACATCAGACAAAATGAATGAGAGCAAATGTGTTTTATTCAAGCGCGACGAGCATCTGAGAATTACTTCTCGACCACATCTTGTCGGCGTTGATTAAGCTAAGCAACAAGCATAATTAGCAAGTATCATCTCAAGACCTCTCAGATTTACCCAAAAGACCTTCATTTTCTACGCCAACCTGGTATCGAAGGTGACTTTTAATTTCTAGCCCGTACAAGAACTCAATTTTGCCTTTGCACTTTCCTTCGTCATTATTCGCAGAGTAAACGAAACTTCCCATGCTTAGGGCCCATTTTTTCCTGCACATATCACCTTTAGTAATTTTGACTGCTGATTACACCACAAAATTTGTGACTCCGATTTTTTGTGCACACAGTCTTTGTCATAGACGACGAGAGTACAGACACAGATTCCCTGTATGTATGCATGTATTTGAAGGGTCACGGGAAGAGCCCACTCTTGCCTTCCTCCACACTTGTGGCTTAGGATAGTTGAGGCCGCTTTCACATCTGGCCACGCTCGATACGAGCACTCCACTAGACAAATTGACCAACGACTCAAGGGTGATTAACGAATACTACCCTCCTGGCGCATCTTGCTCTACTATTCTGCAGATATCGATCGCGGGCACAAAATGAAATGGGTTTTCTCACCTCTAATCCCAAGGGCACTCCTAGGTCGGAACACAGAACTCTCTATCCGGGATCGTAATCCTGCTGTTGTGCCACTCGACGGTGTACACAGTCATCATGCCTCTTAAGAGCATCAAATGAACCACATCGCAGCATCTACGAAGGCTCAATGGTCAGGGTACGCCTTTAATTCTTCCAAATTTTCACTATATGTCTCGTCATTAATGGTCCTCATTCAGCACGAAACTAACCTTACTGAAGCTGGCGCTCATAGTAACGCGAACGGCAGTCGCAAATCTTGTGCTGGCACCATCGCGCCCACGGCTGCAATCGGCACCAGCACGATTGCGGAAATGGAGCTTAACTTGGCAAACGGAGCTTTCTTAGTTCAAGTGTAATTTCATATGTTTTGGCCTTACGATTTTTCAAAATAACTCACCGTCAGTATGCTCAACCATAAAGAACCTTCACGCAAATTATACAAATAAACTTGCCTTACCCCCTCATACGGATCGAAGTTTCGCAAACGATGAGGGGATTTGCGAGCTCATATTACAGAATTATTCATTCAGAAAATGAAGCTAAGAATTTGCAACATGTTTGTTTTCCGCATCCTTTTTTATATTTCTGTCCTCCCTCTGCTCTGATTAATGCATGTAATCAAAATAACACCAAAAATGTTAGTTTTTTCTCAAAAACAATTCTCTCGCGTCGGATCCTGCATTGCTTGAACTGACAAATGCAAGTTGGCGATCATTAAGTTTCTATGAGTTAAAAGAGTCAAATTCAATTCAATTC